GCCAGCTGCGCACCAGTATTCACTTGTTTATATGATTAAATGAAAATCTGCATAATTATTACACAAACAATCCGCAAATGGTTATTTCTGTTAAATGTAGTCAGTGGAGTGATGATCTAATTGTTGGTCGCATAAACTATTCATTATTTTACATCGACTGAAACTGGCAAATTGGACTCAAAAACTTTGAAAAATGAAACGTTTTAACGGACTTTATTTACTAAAATCATTATTCTAATTATTCCTACGATGTGCGCTTGTTTAGGGGATTAGCTTTGGGTGATGATTACTTTGCATAGGCAGAAAGTAAGGATATTTGTTCATGTATCTATAAGTATGTTCTAACACCACCTATGGAAGTTATCGTCGTCCATCCGACCGTTTTGAAGACTGTTCGCATTTGAAAAATAGTTTTTCTATACTGATTTCGAAAACGGAAAAGTTGGAAAATTGAGCGTGAAATTATTCATTGCACAATTTTTACTGCTATTTAGGCAGCGGCTAAATGCTTTGGTATCAACAAAAATTTAAGTTCAGTGTCTCGTATATTTTCTAAAAAACTAAAACATAACTAACTACTGAACATTTAGACCATTTGGAGGGAAAAAAAGAAAACAATTTGCTACAAGAAAACAACGTAAATGCGCCATAAAGCTGCATATTGGGACAGACGAAAAAATCGGCTGTGATGGAAGTTAAACCAATTCAATTCTCTTCAAAAACGCCGATGTTTTGGACGAAATGCATAAGTTCTTTCCAAGGGTTCCAACGAATCGACCAGCGGCGATACGAATTTTCATAGAACAAAAAATTAATTAAAAACTGGCAAGAACCAGGTGGAAATTATTGTTGATGTCCTAACTTTAAGATAAAATCGAAATTAAACACCAAAACAATGGAAATGGTGAAATGGGGAAATGGGGATGCAGTTTAGTGGGTTGAAAACGGTTTTTTCGGATTTGTGACGAAACGTGACCCGCTAGCGGAAAACGTTCTTTGGCAGAGTTGAAGATAATAAAAAAATTTAAAACTTTTGTATTTATCACTTTTTGACATAAAAACCGATTTTTCAGTATATTTTTTTTCTCGCGCATAAAAGATTTAATTGGCATGAAGATCTGTAAAAGTATGGCTTTCTCGGTGTTAATTTTTGTTTATTGTTAACTATCTACAATTTCTCTGCTTCTTGGCATTAAGAAGATGTGTTGCTTGGTTTTATTCACATGTAACAGGGTGCGCTACAATAAACGACCACTGGGTTTGTCTTCGACTTGATGAATATGGTAGAGCGTAGAGGTGGGATAAACGGTTATTTTTCTGTAACGTTTTACAACGTTCCAGTTTCACGTTGGTAATATGTTTCAACATGCGGTTCCAAAAGGAACATGTTACTTTTAAAAATGTTCATTAAACATGCGCAATGATGATGATGGTAGGAATAGTAATGACAAATAATGATTTAGTTGATTAAAAGAATAATTCTTAACTAAAGCYCTTAGATAAAATAAAATATTCTAAAATCAAAACATGGCCCAGAAGTACCTGCCTAAAGAACAAAWGAASTGATAATAAACTAGATAAAATATATAAATAAAAACTGATTAAATAAAATATACGCTTTATTTGCAAAAATGTTTAAAAATCGAATTTTCATTTAAAAATGAATTAACATTTAAAAATAATTTTTTTTGCAGACGCTTTTTACTGTTCGAATTATCGTTTAATGTTCGAAGTATTACCCGAGTTAACTTTGGTACCACCAAGAAAATATTTTTAAAAAATATGTCGACCTTACAACGCCTATAAAACCAACTTTCATTTCATCTTGTGACTGAATTTATATTTAAAAATGGCAAGCTTGCTTAAATGCAGGTGCACATTCTGCTTACAACGTTTATTATTTTACATTTCAACTGGTCAAAACTTTCAAATTTGGTCATAGCTCATATGCAAGTGTACATTCTGCTTAGTTTGCTGATTATAGGCATATACATCTCGAGCTAAGTTTATTATTGAAAGAAATTCCTTTTTTTAATAATAACTATAAAATAAACTAAAAATAAAATAATAATAAAAAAAATAGACTAAAAATGCTGAATTAATATCTGATCCATATCTGAACGATTATGGATTCTGAAGAACTGAACAGTAATCCTTATAAGTAAAAAGTGATAAACACAATAATCAAGGCAACACGCCACTATACATATTTTCCGTTGACAAATGATTACTGAAACTGCTGCAATTAGATAGAGCGCTCGACGATGCCCCATCGGTTCTGTGCTGACGCAAACCACTTTTCCAGGTTTATGAGACGGTTCCAAAAAAAAACGTTTAAATCGGCAAACGGCTGCAGCTAGTGCGAAGTGCGCAACTCGACTGTTTAGGTTTTATGAGACCGTTCCAAAAAGAACGGTTTAAGTCGGCAAACGGCTGCAGCTGGATAGATCGTTCGTTGTCGCATCGGTTCTGTGCTGGTGCGCAACGCAGTGCTGTTTTATGAGAAGGTTCCAAAAACAACCTTTTAATCGGCAAACGGCTGCAGCTGGTTCGAAGTGTGCTCAACTGTTTCGGTTTTGTGAGACGGTTCCAAAAAGAACGGTTTAAATTGGCAAACGGCTGCAGCTAGACAGATGCTCGACGGTGTCGCATTGGTTCTGTGCTATTGCGAACGGCTTTTTCGGGTTTATAAGACGGTTCCAAAAACAACCGGTTAAATCTGCTAGCTGCAACTACGATTTCAGGTTACACTTTTGTAACAATGTTATTTTAGAGGTTACGTTAAATACCTACTATCCCTAGTAGAGCATGATTCTGATTATTTTGGCTGAAATCTATTTCAGATGTCGAATGGTGCTAGTTGCCTAGTTGCTAGTCATCAGCGTCTTGTTCGGTTTTTTTTTGTAGTAGGGTGACTGTTTTGGAGTAGAGTGAATTTGGGTGGTAACCTAGTCGCTGGTGGCATTTTTCAGCGAATTTCTGTATTTCTTCTCTTACGGTTAGGATATTTAGTTATGTTTAGTTTAGGTTAGGGACACCATGCAGAGTGTCGTTTCTCACGTACCATGGGGCGTCTGCCATGTATCGAAAGGATCTTGATTGAAGCTTTGTAGTGTTTCGATGTTGCTGTTGCTGGCTGTTCCTCATAGTTCGATTCCGTATGTCCATATTGGCTTCAGGACTGTTTTATAAATGTTCTTGTTTATTTACTTTAGGACCATATCGGACTTTATTTTCCGGAATTAACTCGGATATCCTTCATAGAAGCCAGTACATTTTTTTAATTATTAGGTCTAATTCGTTTCTTTTTTTCTGTATATGAGTTTTCCAGGTCAGTCGTGGATCCAGGTGCAAGCCCAGATATTTTGTATGGTCTGTTATTTTAATTAGGATGCTGTTTATTGTAATTGGAGGACATTCCCTTCTTTACATTGTGAACAGGACCTGGACGCACTTGTCCTCGTTTACTCGTATGCGCCACTTGGAGTGGAGGGAGCGTCGAATTTCAAGGCTACTTTGATTTGTTGCTATTTATAATTTTTAAAACGTAATATAAAAAAACGCAACAATAAACGGAAATAAACAACTTTTTTGTGGCATTTTCACAATTTTTTTGAAATAAACGGTCTAGGGGGTGTCAATCTATGAGGAAACACCCTGTACATACATCAACGCACACAATTTTTATTCTGGCAAGTGAATTGATATTGATTTGGTTTCGATCCGACGTTCCATGATATGCATACGCTACTATTTCAGTTTAGGTAGGTGGATCACGCTATATAATGTACCGAGTGCCAATTTGAAAACTTCCCACCCTTAATATCATTCTTGCAGTTAAAAATATAAAAAATTGGAAAGACCCGTCAATTTCATTTATAAGGGGGGCACTCTAAATGAATATTTTTAGCCTCCTTGTTTCAACGCCTCAGGACGGGTAGATGTCTGACCCTGAGAATCTTAATTGGGAAGGGGGGTCAAGTGGCACATCGTTTTAAAGGTCGTTCACTTCTCTTTGCATTGGTTACTACTTTGTTGCTTTTTGTCCAGAGGTTTTCGAATAATCACCCTTCAAAGTTACAGAAACAATTAAACTTGCAACTCTGCAAATTTATTTTTCAGCTGGTTTCTCTTCGGAAATGTAACTTTGTCATACGCCTGCATTGAGATTTTGATTTTCAGATTAGTGTTTAAACAAAAATTTTGTCATTGAGTCTCCTTATGGTACAAATGATTAACAGATTCGGTTACACCGTTAAAATAGTTGAATAACAGGAAGAAAATCTAGTTTAAACAATTAATTTCAGATTTATTGATTATTTTACTTCGAGAAAATTATTTTTTTATTTACGGAAAATAAATTTCTAATAATCTAAAATAATCAACAAATAAGAAATAAAATCAAAATTTAAAAAAAGAAATCAATGTTTAAACTAGATTTTCTTGTTATGCGACGATTTTAACAGTGTAACCCACTCTTCTAATCATTTGTATTACAAGGAGACCCAATACAATCGTTTTTGTGTAAACACTAACTTGAAAAAAAGCCAATATCTGAATGTACGCAAGTTTAATTGTTTCTACAACTTTGAATCACGATTATTCGAAAGTCTCTGGACAAAAAGGAACAAAGTAATAATCAAGGTAAACATAATTAAACAACCTTTAGCACGGTGTGCAACTTTATCCCCCCCCCATTCCATTTATGATTTATGATTCCAATTCCCCTCCTAGGGGGTTGAAATAAAAAGGCTTAAAATGTTCATTCAAAGTGTCCCCCTTACAAATAAAATTAACGGGTCTTTCCGATTTTGCATATTTTTAACTGCAAGAAAGATATTAAGGGTGGCAAGTTTTCAAATTGACACCCTGTATGATGTATGTATATCATATCTACATGTATATTAATACTGTTCAATTCCGACCAGGTTCCAAGGCAAATGCGACTCTTACGAAAATGAAAATATTTTAATGACTTGCTAAAACTATTTTGTACTTACGTTTCAATATGCAGTTGTCGAATCATTTCATCGCGTTTCTGTTCCCGCAGTACCATTGCCTCTTGCAACTTCAGTTTCGCCTTTTGAAACTCTTTAACAAGTTCGCCAGAAAAACTCTCATCAAGATTGGCGCAGGCTCCAACCACGGGTTCCACAATAGGCGGAGTCATAGCCATTGTCGTCGGAGCGGTTAACGTTAAATTTTGATGGAGCGCCATTGCGATAGACCTACAAAAAAATTATATTTCTTAAGGAAAACGACATTTTCAATTTTCTATTCTATGGTGAATGATATTTACAGTAGGCATGGGCAACACTGTGTTGAGTTGGGGTTTTGAATCGTTGCCGCTCTGTACGCTAATGAGTTATAACTCATCGCGTCCCAATACGGCGTACTTTGAATTACGCTTAGCATTTAGCAGGTGCGTGACGTTGGCAAAAATTGGTAATTGCCACATTAATAGAGAAAAATATTATCTTTTAAGCAAAAAGTCAGCTTAGTTATAGTGTGAATTTGGTTCTGATTGAGCTCTTGCTTACTTCACAAGAAATTTTGTTGAAAGTTGAAATAAAAAGCGAAATTTGAATTTGATTCCATTTTCCGTTTTCCATTTCTCAGCAGCGGTGAGCAGGTACAGCAACAAACCAGCGGAGATTGAAAAATTGAGTAATACAAAAAGAGCGATCATAACTAGAAGATAATAAAATTAAGGTCCAATGTAAATTGTGAATAATTGTTGAAATCAGAACTTTTAAGACATTTTGAATTCGTGGAAATTTCGTTGGTTTTCATCATCGATCGGTCGCAAGTTGAGCAACAGTTTCATTTTTAAGCCTTAATTAATATTTTTAGAAAAATTAAATTAATTCGGTTATTAATGTTAGTTTTGGCGTTGTGCATTAACTGCTGCAACTAAATGAAATTCAGACAGATATAAATGGCTCTAAATTTAAAATTAGGTTAACAAAAAATTGCCAATTTTGTTCAAATCGAAGCGTTTCTCGTTCAGTTGCTGATTTCCGTTAAGTTCCAAGAAACGTGAAATTTGTCTTTGGAAATATTGCCATCGAAACAGGCACTTTCTACCAAATATGTCAACAATGTCAACACTAAACAAACCGAAATCGAACTGCCAAGAAAAGACGTGAATCATCGAAAGAGCGAACATACAAATGATTATATAATAATTTTGCTCTGTTCATTATTGCGAAAAGGTGTATGAATATTCAGTTTGCTACCGACAGAGGACGAAATTGATAGATAGTCCTTGAGTCCCAGTATCGTGTGAACCGCGTTCTTAGATTGAAAATATCGAATCTTTGTTGCCCTTATCCTACATGCTAACTGCGGGATTAAAGTTTTACGTTTGAAGTGGATTTTGATTGTGAGTAGTGTGAAAGTACAGTGAAGTTTTTGAGCTTAAAGCTACTTAATGGGTAGAACATGGAGGATGAGGCCCTAGCTGGCAGAACGCTATTAAGAATGATCCCTAATCCATAGACGACAGGAATTTCCGGCTGGAACCAGTGTATATGCGCGAGCGCGAGATTTAATCGGAGCCCAGCTGACTGTCGAGATTGGCGCGAATTCCAAACCATTTTGGCACTGATAATAGTATATTATATAATGTGCGAGATATTTAATACCCTTCTCGACCCAAGAATATATACAACACATTTTACTACTAACACTTTGCAAAGCACCTTACAATTGCTTAAATTGATTTAATTAGATTTTGAATTTCCCATTAGTTTTCTAAAGTGTCGCAATATTTAACGTTCAGTTGTCCAATAGACAAACTGCTGCAATATAATTTATCGGTCTTCAGAAAACAGACAAACGTTCTTTGAAAACATTCTGGGAAAAAGCGAAAAATCAGCGAATCTTAGTCACAGTAATTTATAAGTAAAAAATTGATGGAATCTCGACTGAACTTAGACAGGTGGGAAAATAGAAATTACAAAAAAATACACATATTTCATTATTTACCTAGGGTTGTACAGTCTGTTCAGGGACACGCTGTATCAAAAGTTTTCCATAAACTGCCTTATAATGTTAAAAGACCAAATCGCGCATTATGATTTCTCATCGTTTTTGATGAGAAAAACTCGCGCTAAATAATATAGTTCGCAGTTTCTTCTGTAGTTTCATGCTGCTGTTTTTATTTGTAGCTTTTATCTGTTTTCTTTACAGCAATTTCGTTGGATTCAAATGTTAAAAGACCCACTCACGCATAATGATTTCTCGTCGTTTTGTATGAGAAAAACTGGCGCTCAATGTTATATTTTGCTGTTTCTTCTGCTTTTTTAGCTGCTTTTCTGACCGCGATTGAGACTGATTCTAATGTTAAGACCCACTCACGCATGCTGATTTCCCGTCGCTTTTTATGAGAAAACTCGGGTTAAATATTAGATTTCCCAGTTGCCCTTGTATTTTTTAATGTTTTTTTTCTGACCGCGAGTCAGTTCGATGCAAATATTTAAATACTTGATGAAAGAACTGATGAGTACTGTTTTCTAGTCTTTTTATGAGAGAAGAAAGAAGGCTTTATGTTCGACTACGCTGTTGTTACTTGCAGGTTTCCTTATAGCAATTTAGATTGAAGAATCTTTCAATAGCCAGCTTGCGCATTATGATTTATCGTCGTTTTTATGACAAAATTCGCGATTAATGTTAGTTTTCACCGGTTCTATAATATCTCACCGCTGTTTATGAGAAAAACTTAATGTCATATTTTACTGCTTTTTCTGCATTTTTAGCTGTTATTTTGTTCCAAAATTACGTTTTTGAAGCTTAGAAACCAGTTAGCGCTTCTCGTTGGAAAGAGAACACATATATTCTTATTCCTTTTCACGTCTAGTATAGTATAGTGACTACTGTATGTCCTTCCACCAAGAACTGTAGGGTGCTCATTTGTGAGCTTAGTAGACTAACAATTAGCAACTGTCAAAAATTCAGATTTTCCAAAATAGTTTTCCTTTTCTTACCACAATTATTTGAAATACAGAGAAAAAAAATGTCAGCTGTTTTACATGATTCTAGCCCAAAGTAATATTTCACACACCTTACCTTTCATTCAATGAATCCCTCCTGGAAGATCGAGCAGTTCCTGCGGACGCCGGACTTTCTCTACCTCGGTGCTCAGGTGTTGACGCATTCGATAACTTCCGGTCGGGACTCTTCGCGACCGGCTACAACAATTAAATAACATATATACTTACTTTGTTGTGGATATTAAAAAAGTCGGATAACGACAAGCCAAATAAATAAAAATATTTATGCAGAAAAACGATTTAAGCTCCTTACCTTCGGCGTGCTCGATTGTTCCTGTATGCATGGCAATTGTTGAAATTCTGCGTAGCTATTAGACAAAAATACATCGCCATCGTTTTCAAAAAGTCGATCCACCGAAGAATTCATTAATTTGTTGTTTTTTATACCTGAAATAGAATTAAATTAATTGCTGTGTATTCAATTCAATTCTTTTGTGACCAAAAATGTTTTGTTATTTATAATATTTACTAGACAGGGTGTCCCGATAAGGGTAAAAAGCGGCTGTAAGGTCGTGTGTGATCTCGACAACGGTAAGGACTAGCGGCTTGGGGGAAAAAAAGAAGAGTTGGCAGAAAAAATGGCTGAAAAGTGTATTGAAGTTCGAAGTTCATTGGCTAAGAGGCGCAAATGTAACCAAAAAAATATATTAAAAGTCATGGTAGCTCGGAGACTGGGGAGATGAGCTCTAACTTTGAGAACGGCTCCATAATCCTGCAATTTTTATCTTTCATAATAAAAGACCGGGAGGCAAATGCAGTTTTCAATAGTTTCGGCCTACTTTGAACGAGCATTTTAATGTATTTTCAAATACATTTTTTGTCCGATGTACTCTTACACAACTTGAAATTCCCTACTTTTTACTGAAAACCACATCGTGATATCTTCAGTCGTTCTCGATTTATAGAAAAAAATGCAAAGATGTTTAGTTCGGAAATCGGCTCAAGTTGCCATAGTGAGAAACAAATCACGTAGCGACGAAGCCATGGTAACTGATAACAGTAAACTTGACAGTATTGTGGAAAATTCGTTCTTAAGGTTTCTGCAGTTTAGATTTTACTTGTTGTGCTAGTTTCAGCAGTAGTCGAACACTTTTGCATGGCAAAAAATGCGGAGAAGACAAAGTTTATGATCCTCACCGCTGAAATCGGAACAAAAACAGAAGCGGACCCCCAATCATCGGCAACTTTGCATTTGACACACGTAATGACAGAGGGCAAACGATGCTGAACTTCCTGCTCAGAGAAGGGCTGTATTGCATAAACACCTTCTATCAAAAACGTCTGCAACGGAAATGGACCAATTCCAAATCGCTTCAACACGCGAAGCGACCACAGACTTGTGAGAGCTAAATATGCGTCGATACTAGATCGAGAAGAAACAAGCTGATTTTGAAGAGGCTGAGACCAAAGAGCAGTTAGTTGAGGGCGAAGAAGGAGTTCAGCAGACAGTTTGAACAGAGCTTAGAAAAGATAAACACGCTGAAAGATCTGGAGTTATATTAGCTGAGAGGGAAAATTGTCGACAGTATCTGAGTTGCAATAAAGAAAGTTTGCACGTTTGGAAGGCAGCGAAACTTGAAACTCACTCCCGAAACGACCAGACTTATGGAAGAACGCAGTCATGGATCGCAATGCACGGCCAGCTGGACAAACTAGTAAAGAGAGCCATTCGCAGACGCTTAAGAGCGCACAACTCGCCAATGATTCGAGAAGCCATCGAGGACAATATAAACATGAGAGACCTCCGTTCCAGAACGGCTAGAGGAAAATCAATCATCTATAAGACGAGCGGGGCGAAGTTGTGCCAGAGAAAGGCGAAATCGTTCCGATCATAGAGAACTTCCATCGGATACTATAGAGCCAGTCAGTAACACTATCTGACTGTCTCCACGAACACAGCGGTCGCGTGGTCCAGAACGTCGGCTCCGAGGAGATCCCCGAAATTGATAGATCGGAGCTGAGAGCAGCATTAGAACAGATGAGAAATCGCAAAGCTCCCGGAGAAGAGCGAGCAAGTGGCGAGTGAGATACTGAAGACTGAAGGAGAAACTCTGGACAAGGCAATTGTCACTCTCTTTAACAAGTGCCTCGAAGGTGGAAAGATTCCACAAGCATGGAGAAACGCCACTATCCTTTTCAAGAAGGGCGACCCTACCCTCTCCGTGTTATATAAGCACCTTACCAAAATAATCACCAACAAGCTCGAGTTCTACCAAGCTGCAGAGCAAGCTGTATTCACATCGTGCTGTACGCACTATTTATTCTGAGAACAATATCAAGTCGCTGATCTCCGATAAAAAAAACCACTTTACTGACAAATAAATCTGGGAAAAGTGCGTAGAGAACATAAATATTTCCAATTTAAAACGGGTTACAAATTGTCCTATAATAGTAGTAAAATAAATAAATCCGATAGAGTCGTAATATACATACAAGAAAAGCTAAAAGAGACTACGCCAACCTTGGCGTTTGGAGATTTGAGAGTTCTCAACAAAACAATAAAAGCGCATAGAGAGAATATGGTAGTGTCTGCTATTTATAAATCTCATGATATGCCTAAGTCGGAATTCGTTTTAAACCCTAAGAATTTTCTAAATAAATATATCTTTAGAAAGAATCACCCATTAATTGAGGATTTCAACACAGATATATTGGAGAATAATACCATAAGCCAGGAATACTTAGATAATTTCTTAGAAAGAGCCTACAGACCGGGTTTTGTAGGCATAACGAGACCAACAGTAAACAATCCAACTGAAGGAACGTGTATAGACAATGTTTTTGTCAAAAGTAGTACAATATAAACTCAGTTCTATAAAATCACTAGCACTTTTACGGACCATTTTCCATTATTTGTAATTTTTCAAGAAGGAATTGCAAAAGTGGAGAAAAGTGTTGATGATAAGAGATTCAACTGCAAAAAATTATCCACTTGTGCATCTACAACCGACCGGCTAAATGACCTAGAAACTAATGATCTTAATAGAGCTTTAAACAAATTAATCTGTAAAATAAATAATTGCATGGAAAAGTCGAGGCGTCACAATAAGAATAGTAACAAAGAACTCAAACCAAGACGTAACTGGATAACTAGTGCCATTATGGTATCTTGTCGGAAGAAAGGAAGATTATATAATGAATGGAAAACTGATCCAGACAATGCACAACGCAAAAGAAATACACTAAGTACAATAAAGCTCTATACAAAATAATTAGGAAAGCTAAGATTAAATATGAATAAAACACTTTCTTGAAGAGTAAAAATTTTCCTCGAAATCTATGAAAATTGATAAATGATAAGTTAGGCAAAAAAGTAAAGAAAAGTAATGAAATTGAATATATAATTGATGATTTCAACAACAAAGTAGATAATACAGAACAAATAGCAATTAAGATGAATTACTTTTTCTGTGAAATTGGTGCCAAATTAAGTGCCATTAAAGTAACAATGCGTACCAATACTCCAAAGATTTAATGATAAGACGATATTTATAAGACAAAAAAATATTTTTGAAATTAGTGGCATAATTACTAAAATGAAAAAAAGCGGGTGCAGTGGATGGAATTAGCATAAAGACGCTGAAAATATTATCAAACTATATAATTGAAACTTTGGCTCTAATTTTTAATTTAAGTATGGAAAAATCAATTTGGCCTGAAGCGTTGAAAACAGCTGAAGTTATACCGATTCATAAAAATGGATCCAAACATGTAGCAAACAATTATAGACCAATCTCACTAATTTCAAATATAGCCAACATTTTTGAAAAAATAATTCATAAAAGGGTATACAATTTTATAAATAATAAAATACTACTACACAAATTACATTGTTCGAGGGTGTGCACTAGACTTAATAAAAATCTACTTAACAAACAGGAAGCAAAACGTAAAAATAAACAATATTAAAAGTGACTACAAAACTATTTCAACTGGTGTACCATAGGGAACGATAGTGGGCCCCCTGCTTTTCCTGGTATACATTAATGATTTGATAGACAAAAGTTGATACTATGATGTCTTATGCTGACGACACAGCTTGTATCAGCTAGCATCAGATAATACTTGGAAAAGTACAGAGCTCAAAATGAACAAATACCTAAAACATGTATCAATGTAGCTGGCTCTCAATAATTGGTCTCTAAGTGTCAATAAAACAGTATATATAACATTTGGGATTTATTGTGATAGCGTACCTGCAAATATATGTATAAGAATAGATAACATGGTTATAAAAAGGGTAGAGAGCTGTAAGTATGTGGGCCTAATTTTTGATTTCAGTATGAAATGGGATAGACACATTGAGTATATTATAAACAAAACACAATATTTAAATTATGTCTGCTAAATTTTCAAATTTCTTGAATACAAATGTATTGACCACCCTGTATGATGCACTTTTCCACAGTGTAGCAACTTATGGTATTATTGCATGGAGAGGTGCGTATAAAAATTGTAGATACCTACTGCAGAGGCTGCAAACCGAACCGAAATGAACCGAAAAAAACCGGAATGGGAACGGAACCGAGTTGGAAATTATTTTCTAAAGCGGAACCGTAACGGAAAAGAAATTTTAAATTTTGCCTTGGACCGAAACCGGAACGGAACAGTAATTTCATTTCGGTCCGGGTCCTTGATTACTATACCTAGAATAACAAAAACAATAAGTAGCAAGAATAGTTACATAGTAGCTCTTAAATTATTTAATGATCTCCATAATGAACTTAAAGTAATATTGAATAATAAGAAAACGGCCAAAAAGAAACTACAAAACTGGGTTAAAAACATCGTATTTAGTTATTGACTGTCAAATTATGGGAAATGCAATATAATGCACAGGCTATAACACTATTTAAATTAATTTCTAGTAATAACAAAAAAGATATTATTGTATTATTTTAGTTTTAATATTAGTTTGTAGGTTTTTAAGCTTAATTTTTTTGTTATATGACCGGCCCTAAGGGGGGGGGGGGAACTAGTTTTGCCTCTATGGGATTATGTTGTAGTATTTTTGTACTGGTTTTTGAATAAATTTGAAATTTGAAAACTTCATTGAGTAAACGAAAATGTTTAACTGTTACTCTTACCAGTTAGGTGAAAACTGGCAAAACTGCTTCTGGACATCATGTCTCCGGTGCTCATCGTCATGGGTCGATAATTTCCGTTGTGTACAGCTGCGCTATGTGATAATCCATCCATCACTGGCATTAGAGATCTGAAAAACGAGGATATTTTCCATATAACATGATGAACGCAAAAGTGAATTGGACAGTAGAACTGACCTTGTCATTATATCGGCCGCCGATTTCGGTCGAGTGAATGGCATGGCAGAATGTGGAAATGTTTTCGGCTTGATCGGAGTCACAAGCATGTGTTCTGTCCAAGAAGTCTCCAGCGACGGTCGCTCCAATCGTTCAACATCTACGTTCAGTGTTTTTTGTTCAAAGGGCACTGAAAACGTTTCAGGTGGAACACTTTGCAACCAGGAGAGCAACGAAAGATCGCTGTCACTAAAACCTGAAAATAACTCCAAATTTACTTTTGCATAAAGTAATGTGCCGTTTAATATTTACCTACTGTACCATCTAACAGTCGAGAAAAAGTCATTCCTTGAACTTGTGAGTCGGTGGAACCGGTGGCTTTGGCTTGGCAGTAATTCACACATGATTCATACAAAATACCTAAAACAAAAATATGAACTCATAATTACCATGATGGAATATTTGCTTCATTATTTTGCAGGCAACTCCCTTTATGACAAAGGCAACTTGGAAAAACTTGACTGCCAGATGAGTAGTGCCACTCTGGTAGCGCATTAGTGCACAATACTGTGCAATAAGATATTTGTACTACGGGCGTCATTTTAAAGTTTTACTGAAAATGCATCAGGTTGTCCAATATGTGACAATAAGGAAAACTGAAACTGTATGTATCCTAATACGGCTACAAGTCGCACAACCTTGGGCTGCAGAGCAAATACGTTGAACAGTTGGGAGGCGTTTTTCCGAATCAGACAGCCACACATCATAGGCTAGTGCCGATACAAATTTGATATACTGAATTCAAATAAAAATAATAATAATAACATATAAGAGTCAGGCTAAAATGGCCATTTAGGATTGTGTCATTTACTGCCACCGATGATATCAGTACCGCGAAAAGATGTGCTTTCCCCGGGACTCGGCACTGTCTTCGATGGATTTTTTCTCAGAACTTGCTAAGCTGCATCCCCAAAAAAAAATATTTTTGATGAATCGATCGAGTGGCACGTCAGATTATGATCAAAAATTAAATTAATTTAATTACAATTTAATGCAGTTTGAGGTATCTAGAAATATTTGCAATGGTTAGTCCTTCACCGGGCGCCTTCCCAGGTGGCGGATAGGTCTTCCAGACATGGGTGATACCGGAGATATACCGGAGGCGACGTAGAGCTGATATTTGCCCAAGCGAATATTGAGTCATTAATTCCGTTTCATTTTATTAAATTAGGTAGTTAAATTAGATTGCAAACCAAATGGTTAGCAGGTGTTTCTTGTTCGTTGTTAGCTTTATCGTCAATAATTTCAATTAGGTCTTAAGTAGGTATTTTAGCAGTAAGCCTGGGTAACTCAGTGAATTTTTAGGAATTGGCGCCGTGCTACACAAATCGCGTGGTGCGCCAGCCCAACGCACCGGCGCAGTATCTCGGTTCCGTTATTGGGAAAATGTTGATGACTTTTTTAAACTTTTTTAGATTTATTTTAAAGGCCATTTATTAATGACATTTTTAAAATGTCTTCAAATTTCAGAATTTTACAGTTTTAGCCAAGTTACTCTTCCTGCTAAATGCTCAATTTTCTAAAGTTTCACTCAAAAATACTGACAATCTTAAAAAGATTAAATCAATTTCGAATCCTTAGTCGCTTTTTAAAAAGTTTTGAAATCCCTTTCCAGCTTCCAATTTGGAGCAAAAATCAAACAATTTTCTAACAAAAAGGAACAGAATAACCGAAAGTTTATAAGAGATTATTTGGAAATGTCACCTCCATTTATCTGAAGACTATAGAATTTATTAAAAAATGTGTTTTTTTAGTTTTGACTGATTTTTTTTGTTTTACTTTCTACTCAAAAACGCTCTATTTTGAAGAGTTTCAACTGAAAATACTAACGATCTAGATGACTTTTACGCGAAAAATTACAAGAAAAATTAAATATAAAATATAATATATCAAAATTCGCTCTGATAATTCGTTGCAAATTGTCAGTTATGTGACTTTGACTTGATTTATTTATTTATTTATTTTCTAATATAGACAATTTGCAACGAATTATCAGAGCGAATTTTGATATATTATATTATCCTACTATTGTTACACAATTTACTAACAAACTCTTTTTTAGGTTCAT